TTGTGTGAGGACTACTTACAGATGTGGTATTAGCACCATACTGTCACATTATTGTTTTGTAGATATACAGCAGACAAGATTAAGGCATCACTTGATTTGGGTATAAAATTGAGAGTCATTCATCACTGGATTCTAAGAAAGAAATGAAAGCCGGAGCTTGAAGAGGGAATTGCTTCCTTGATGGCACCTTAATCAGTTATCTATGCCATCACAAAATCTTATTGAAGTAAAAGCATCACCCTGTGATGCTTCACCCTTGTCTGCCAAGCCAGTCACGACACTGTTAAAAGTGTTAGTTTGGTATGTTGGCTGATTTCTCCAATTAACATTCTTGTCCTTTATGTGCCTGGAATTGGTTTCCAGTTTATTTGTTCCATTGCCTTCCTAGGTATTGGGGTGAGACAACTGAGCAACCAGTTGTTCCCTGGATCTTGCTTCTTGCCCCTGAAGAAACAAGAAGAGCATAAGAAGAGTGGAATGTTAAAAGGACTGCATTGGAAAATAAAACAATGAAAGATTAATGTATCCCTGTTACCTGTCATCTACAGGATTACAAAAATTTATAATGCCTATACTGGATCTGAGTAATGTGTGTCCCTGCTCCTGTACTGAAAATATGTGCTTAATAGGTGAAAATACTTGTAAGAGGTTGCAAAGTTAATTCTTTATTTGCCTCCTTAATTTGGCCAAAGTGTCTAATAGCTACTGATCAAAGGGCAATTTAAATTAGTTTTTGTGGCTCTTTTCATAACAAGGACTCAAGTTTTTTAGGTAAAAAATTCCAAGTCATGCTGATCTTGTGGAGGATGTAAAAGAATCAACTCTCTTGAAGCTTGTTCTGGCTTCAGCTTCTTTCAGTGATATTTGGAAACAAATGGTTTTCAATAATCTCAGAATAATTGAAGGCAGTAAACATTGCTTGCTTTCTGTAGGTCTCCAACATGAGAAGAACCCTGAAGGGTAATATAGTGGCCATTAGTGACAACTGTGAAAAATGGCCATGTAAGACCTGCATATCAAAGATGTATTGATGTTCTGCTGTTTGCAAGGACAGTATTTCAGAAAAATGTACTAGCAGCGTAAAAATGATTTTGAATGAGAAGCTGTTAATTCATGACCTGAAGTAAATATATCTAGAAATTGCTATAACCATGTACTTCATTCACTAAATCCACATATATTACTAAGACAATCTTGGATGTCATAAAAAAATAGTAGCCCCAGTACCCTTGAAGGCTCCACTTGAAAGTAAATGCACAAAATTGTGTACCTGTTCCTTCTACTTGCCTTTTTCATATTAGATTCTTAATGCTATTTTTAGTTTACTTAATGCTGCTTAGTCTCCTGTTTTTAATGTGGTCTTATTCCAAAGTGCACAACAAGGAATAGGTTATCTAGTACTGGTGTCAATACTTAAAAATAATTGCTGTGGGATTCAAGGAGACTGGTAATAGAAACTGAGATGAATCTTAGTGCAGCAAGAGTCCCAAGTATTTGTCATGCTACCTTGCATCTCTACAAAATATGGTATTTTTTAGATACAACACAACACTAAATTAAACAGTAAGTTTAAGAAATGTCACTGCCTCGTTATGCAGGTTTTTTTCGTGTTGCACACTTCTGTGCTCAATGAGTGCAGTACTTAACATCTTGAAAGGCCACTCTCTACATAAAGCCTAGTCATGAATGAGTCCTATTGGGGCAAAACTGCTAAAAAGAAATTAAACATCACATTTCACTTTATGATTGTAGTAAAATTTTCTATTGACTCCAGTGTGGCTTCCTTTTTGTTCTTGTCCAAAGTTTCAATACCTTGTTTATGCCAGAATTATATGGGCTGGAAGAGACCTCTTGAGGTTCTCTCCTCAACCCTGAAATACGGCATGATCTCTGCTAGAGAGCGCTGAAGGAAGCTGTTGCTTTTTGTTATATCTACTTCAGGTGGACCACAGTGCAGAATCTATGGGACTGAACAGAGAACAAGACTCTCAAAAGCAGCATGATAGTGAGGGTCATTGAGGTATTCATAAAAATAATTGTGTGCGTGCAAGTTTCTTGTTCTAACTCATCCCACTGGTGCATTACCTGGTTTATGCCTAAGTGCAGGTGACTTTAGAGAAGTCCCTGTCTATCTGTGAATCATGGCAGACCTTAAGCACCAAACAAATGTCTTCTGAATTTGTACAGGAGCCCTCCTATGTGCCATGAAGCATCTTAAACAGAAATAAAGGCATACCGAATTACAGAATTGATTGAAATCTCAGACAGGAAGATAAGAAATTCCAGGAAATGGTGCTTATTATGATGAGAGAATGGGGGAACAAAATCATTTTGCAGGTATAATTATGAGGAAGATCTTTTGTTCCAAGTAGCTGCTGAGTATTGCTTTGTGTGTCTGCTGTTATACAGATTAATTATTGGTAAATGTTAGGTGACTAATGTGTTTTTTCATTTTTCAGACTGAAGGTTAGAATGTTGGTGAAAATTGTGTAGCTGCAAAGATGTTGAATAGTGTTTTAAGGAGAAAATCTTCACTAAGGAAACAAATACAGTATTAATGGCTAGAAATATTTGATATACTGATGACCTTGAAAATAATTTTTGCAGCTTTTCTTAAAGTGATTAACTATGAAATAACCTTAAAATCTAAACCTTAAAATCTTAACCTTAAAATCTGGCAAGGGAGCAAAATGGGACAGAAACTTTTGATCAAGAAATAATAGTTATGATATTGGAAAAGGGCATTTTAAGGCATATTTTTGTAGAAATTCATATTTTTATACCTTGTATCCCCATTGCCTTTCTTATTTGGAGAGTGATGAAACAGAAATATGCATTTGATATGTACTGAAAGCATTTATTTGACAAAACAGAGGACCTAAGCAGATTATTCCTCCCATATTTTTAAAATTTTAGTTTAGATAATGAGATTATATTGCCACAGTAGCAAGTACCAAATAAAAGAAAGTGCTATTTGAACTCTTTCTATTCAGTTCTTATTAATGTATGTACAAGTGTTTGACTTCTGTGAAAAGTTTGCATTCAAACTGACCTGTCAAGCTTTACATTATTTCAGACTTGTGGTTTTAGGTAGTTATCAGAAATCTAATACAGTGTAATGAAAATTTGCATATTTAATATAATTCTAGCGGGTTTTCTTTTCAGTTGAAAGAAATCATTCTATATTCATAACTTTTAAGCTATTTCCAGTTTCATGAAATAAAGGAGCATGTCAGAAATGCTTCTTTTTACAACTTCTGTGACCCATAGTGTTTCTTACAGAAAAAACTCAAATGTTCGAGGTGTTATGGCACATTCTGTTCTGAAGTACTTACTGTTAATTCTGATTAGTGTTTATAATAATAATAATAATAATTTTGTTGGTTTATGGCATATTTACTGAGATATGGTCAGTTGTAGAAAACTTGATTTTGAATTGTCACTTTTAAAAAATTCTTGATATGTTGTCATGGTTTACTTTCAAAAACTATACTTTTTTTGTGTTTGGAATTGGTGTGCTATGCTCCAGATTGTAAACACGGTGTTGAAAGTTAAAATACACAATAGAATCAGGGAATTCATGGACTGTTTTTTCATCAGGCTATTTCCCAAATAGCTGGATCTTGAGCAAGATATGTAAAGTCAAACTAAGGATTTTTGGAAAGAGGGAGCAAGTATTTCTGAGAGATTAGCAAGGGTCAGATTATGTGTGATGATACCTGTTTGTGGTACCTTCAGGAGTGGATTTTGGTTAATTGTGGCTCTTTGCTGAGGGTTTTCAGTGGGGATTTGCTCATGCAAGAGGAGTGTCTGTGGTGTAACAGGCTTCTGTTCACTTGGGCTGCCTTTGAATACTCTTGAGTTTCCTCACTGCTCTTTACAAACAACAAGCTCCGTACTCTATCCCCCTTTGACAGAAGAGAAAGAAAGTAGAGGAGTACCTAAAACAGATCTTTATAGAATTGTGTTGAACTTTAAAGCTTCCCTAATGCTAAACACTAAGATGCAGTGACTTCTGCAGCCCTAAGGAGCCTCAGTGACCCTGTGAAAGCCACGTTATGTATGTGATAAAGGTGTGAGTGAAGCAGGTTCTGTCAGTGTCTGCCCAGTGCCCAGCCTGACAGTGTCCTGCCACTGTTATTGGGTAGTGTCTTCTAGTTAAAGGCTGTACTCATTGATCAACCAGTCCACTTCAGGTTTTTGTGATAAGTATGGAGAAAGGCACATTAAATGCACATGAAGAAATGCATTTGTCATGTCACTACTATTAACCACTTCATTTTAGAAATTGATGTTTTGATGGATTCAGGGGATCAGCCTGATACTGGTGTGAGAAGACCTATAAACAGATTTATGAAGTAATTTTCATAATCAAATTTCACATCAATACCATCTTACATTTTGAAGTCTCTGGGCAAGAGAAGATTAGAAATTCCCTTTTCAGAAGGAGAAGAATGCTGTTATTAGTATTCAGGTTTATAAAGGGAAAGGTCATGAACTCAGGTTGTGTGCATCAGTGCTCAGCATCTCAAAATTGTACACGTTCTGCAGATGTTCTTTACAGAAAGGCGAACTGATATCATTAGTATGATTCTAGTTTGTAAATTTAAGCTTTTAAAAACTTTATTTTTTCCCTCTTTATGCTACAGAATGATATCATTTGGTTGTTGAAATGAGTTGATAAATTACAGACAGCTTTTTGCCTATTGCATGATATGCAGTGGTTCAATTTAAGAATTCAGTTTATTTTAAACTATCCTCAAACTTACATTTATTTTAAAATTTAATATATACCTGTGAACAATAATTTTTTACAGTCATGTGCCAGTTTGACCATAACTGCCACATACTTCATTGCAAATCAAATTCATTATGATAAACAAATATGGAAAAGGACTTTTACTTCTGATACCAAAGCAGTGTCTTTAATGAAAATTTTTTAAGCACTGAATCTTTTCAGACATGTTATTTGTGTTTTGTTTTTTTTTTTCCCGTACAAGCCACAGAAGAAAGAGGATCAGCAATCAGAAGCTAAAGCAAGTCCAAAAAAGTCATCAGAACCCACTATTGACCTTTTAGGACTTGGTAAGCAATACATAATTGCTTGGTTTTAAATCAAACATAGATATGCAATTTTATATTTTAATAGGTATACTTTTTGTTTTTTATACTGTGGTTACTGGAAGATTAATTTGAAAACCATAAGATTGCATGCATGAATTTAAAACTATAACAGAAAATTACATTGGGATGTGGGTATATCAGTACTTATGTTTTGCTAGGGAGAGTAATGAGATCCTGTGGGAAGGGGAAGTTATCAAAGTGATCTTCAGAGGCCTTGTGGATTGTAGTATTTCATTGTTTATGGTATAAGTGTACGTTTTAATGAAAATGCTGAGGTCATCTGATTCATGTATCTGTAAAAGACATTATATCATACATTTCCTGTATTAGTTAAAAGAATGGTAAAGTGTCGGACTGCAGCTGACTAATACCTTGTAAAACTTAATATAGTGGGAATTTCAGTGTTCTGTACTGGCTACAACCATCATTCATTTTTATCTAATCCACCTTTTTGTTTTCTGACTGGCAGGTATCTATGGGTTTGTCCTGTAAATAAAGTAGTTTCCAGTAAAATAATTTCATTGACACTGTCTGCCTATACTGTTGTGTATAGGTCATTCTCATAAAATATGTCTTTCATTTATCTCGTGTTGCTCTAAAAGAGTTTTTTCCACTTGATGGAATCTTAAAATGTAAATGGAAGGATAAAATATTACAGTATTTTTATTTCCTTTTGAAATTCAATGTTAGGAAAATCTACAAGTTGTGAATGGATATTAAGAGTATTCACTTTTTATTCATGTAATAGTTACTCTTAATTTTCTACATTATTTCTACATTATATTGGAGGAGGCTAATATGTCTTTTAAATGCAGTTCTAAAAACTTCACTTTGTAGAAGAGTGGTTTGGTTTTCTTAAAAATTTTTGTTTCAAGGTATGAATAATGTGACAAAACATAAGTGTTTTCTCTGCTTTAATATTCACATTCTCATCCAAAATACATGTTTTTTTCCCTCTGGCATTGAGCTAACTGTAAAGTACCATTTTTGCATGGGTTATGTGTATGTTGTCCATATCTCATTCCAAGTAATTGCTCCTATAGGCATACAAATCTTAATTAACACCGTAGAATGAATGTAGAATGAGCCTATTAAAAAAAAAAAAGTAATTTAGACCTGATGGAAAGCTGATTCTCCTTTATTTTCCTTTAGCAGACCAACAACGTAATTAAAACCTAAAATTTAATCAATATGCGGTTTTGAGATTGCTAGGCTTCTGTATTCTGTTGGTCATGATTTGAAAAGTATCTTGGTAACACTGTTTTACGATACAGTAATGAACTCAGATTACATTGGCTAACTTGAGATGTAATGTGCAATGAAAATAGTATTATAATTGGTGTTCAACAGCTTCTCTTCTTCAGTGAGATATAAAAAGGGCAAAGTTTATAATATGTATGTTAAACCTCCATAATTTAGAGGAGGGAATGTTTAAAGATCTTTTAAATAACAAACTGAAAAGCAGTGTAATAAGCCAGTAGCACTTGGAATCCACGAATCCACTGAGCTGCAAATGAGATATTTGTTAATGAGAGGAGACCTGCATATTTTATTTGAAGAGTTGTCTTTTAATTAGCACCTGCAATAGAAGACTTCAGATAGTATTAAAAGAGAGGTCACATCAACCCAGTATGTCATAGAACCATAGAATAGTCCAGGTTGGAAGGGACTTCAAATGGCCTTCTGGTCCAAGGAGTCCATGGGAAGGGGAGTGTAGAGATTATCCAGCATCCTGTCTATCTAGCATCCTATCTGGGCACACAGCCTGCACACGTCCAGTGATGGGAGCTCTGACACATGTGGAGTTGTTCTAGTAATTGATCTCATGGTAAAAAATATCTTTCTTACATTGACAAACTTGTACCTGTTGCCTCCTGTCTTCCCTGTGTGGCTCCGTGTGTTGAGAAAAGAGAGCTGTGTCCTCCTCATAGCTACCCTTCAAGTACTGGCATGCTGGGGTGAGAGTCTTCCTGAGCCTTCCCTTCTCCAGGGAGAAAAGACTGGCCCCTTCAGTCTTTCCTCACAGAGCAGGTCTTGCAGCCCTTTGGCCATCTTCATGCCTCTCTTTTGGACCCTTTCCAGTCTGTGTCTGTCTTGAATTCTGGGAGCCAGAACTGGACACAGACTCCAGGTGAAGCCTGGGAAGTGCTGAGTCGAGTGGGATGATCGCATCTTTGCCTCAGAAGTAGCACCCCTGTGGATACATCCCAGAATTTCACTCATCTCTTTTGCTGCAGTGATGTGCTGCTGATTAAAATGTTTGATATGTCATATCAAATAATATTAAAATGGATATGATTGCTTAGCTTGTTCTTCTTACTGAGCAGACATTTTTCTAATGAGGATTCATTCTCTTAGGACTTCATTTCTGCAAGTGGAGAGTAGTACTAGCTTTTAGTAAGGCAGCTCAAAATCACTTGTGATAGCAGGTTAAGTAATTTTAATGGATCAGAATTCATGCTAGAATAATTTTGGCTTTCAGAACAGCCCAGCTTCTTGGCAAAATATTTTCTTACTCAAGAAAATACTTTGCCTCCCTCACTGCTGGCTTTGGCTGTGGTGTTCGTCTCTGGGTCATTGTTCTTATTGTCTCAGTTGGTTTTGCAGTAGTGACCTCATCAGAAGGTAAACTTCCTTAGATAGGATTTATCCTACGAAAATTGTAGCTGGGCAGTTTTCTGAAAGGGAACTCTCTTTCACTTTTCTTTATGAATTGCAAAATTTTCAAGAAAATATGCCTTGGGGAATTGTACCTTTAAATCTTGTAATAGGAGAAGAGGCATAATATTCTCAGTGACTGTACTGTCACATTTGTGTTTGGGCTGAGCCCTTTCAAATAGATCTATGTGGTTCCCTTGATTTCCTCATCAGGGGGTTGTTATTAAGATGCTGTTTAGATCCTCACTTTTTGATGATGCAACAACATTCATGGGTTTTGGCTTTCTGATTCAGAATAGATTTTAGTTCAGAACTCCTCATACAGAAAGGTGGGGAAATGGACATGAACAAGCTAAATATTGTTATGCTCTCTACGGGCAGCAGTGTCAGTGGTCTTGCTGTGCAACCCCAGATTCCTTCCCTCTCTTCCCAAGCAGTGGGAAATAACAGCCTGTTTCTGTAGACCAAGCCTGAAGGTGCTTTTTTAGTCATCTCTGCAATTATTTGGATGTTACCCATGCTGGAAGAATGCCCTGTTGAAAATGTGGAGATCTAAAATTGACACTAAAATCAATAATACAGGATGTTATAAAATGAATTTTTAATAGGGTAATTATGGCAAACAGTCTTTGGTTTGAAAGTCACAGTGTGTAAACCACAGTTCTTCAGCACTTATATGATTGGTGGTGCTGTATTTTCATCTCTCCAGTGTTAACCTTGTGCTCTGTGCTCTTTTTTAGTTTGTTTTTTTTTTAACTTATTTTTTACTTACAAGGTAGATGTCTCCTCTTATGGCAGATTGATGTAAATGATTTCTTAATATTTTTTAAAAATATCATGATAGCTATGTACAAATGTCCATGGAATATTCGAATATTACACAGGCAGTTTGTGATCATTGTGTTTGCCAAGGTATGCCACATAGAAATTACTTCGACATAGAGAGGAAAAAAAAGGAAAAAATAGTGGTTTTAAATTATATTACTTTACAGAATTACCAGAAAGAAGAAAAGTGCATTTTATGTATTCTGCATCGTTTGCCATGTTCAGATGTGCCCTTCAAAAAATAAACAATTTCATATTCTGGATTAACCACTGTAGTTACAATGAATAACTAGAAGAAAACAGATTTATTATGGCATTAACTGAATTTGATGTGTGGGGCATTCATCTGGCATGGTTGGAGGTAAAATATGATATACTAAAAGCTTCTTATCTGCTTCTGCATGGGAAATATTCTCTGAAAGAGTTCTCTGAAGTTTTGAGAAGTTAATAGTGATATGAAATGTAGCTCACTGTTGCATAACTGAGAAATGTACTTTTGTCAGGATTGTTGGGTAAGTACCGAAGCAGCATGGTTGGTCCTAAGTCAGAAAGTTGCATTTAAGAAATGGTAAAGATAGATTTGTAAATACATAAATATCATATATGCACATATAGATCATAGACTCCTAGAATAGTTTGGGTTGGAAGGGACCTTTAAAGGGCATCTAGTCCAACCCCCCTGCCGTAAGTAGTGACATCTTCAACTAGATCAGGTTACTCAGAGCCCCGTCCAACCCGGCCTTGAATGTTTGCAGGGAAGAGGTAGCTACCACCTCTCAGGGCAACCTTTCACGATCCTCATTGTGAAAAATTTCTTTGTTATATCTAGTCTGAATGTATCCTGTTTTAGTTTAGAACCATTCCCCTTGTTGTATCACTACCAACCCTAATAAAAAGTCTGTCCCGATCTTTTCTGTAGGTCTTCAGGTACTGGAAGGCTGCAGTAAGGTCTCCCTGGAGTCTTCTCTTATCCAGGCTGGACAGCCCCAACTATCTCAGACTTTCCTTACAGGAGAAATTCCTCTGATCACCCTCATGGCCTTTCTCTGGACCTGCTGCACCAGGTCCATGTCTGTCCTGTGCTAGGGACCCCTGAGCTGGATGCAGCACTCCAGGTGGGGTCTCACCAGAGTGGAGAAGTAGAATCCCTTCCCTCAACCTGTTGGCCGTGCTGCTTTGGATGCAGCCCAGAATACAGTTGAGTTTCTGGGCTGTAAGTGCACATTGCCTCTTCATGTCCAGATTTTCATCCTCCAGGATCCATGGGCCCTGCTCTGCAGGGCTGTTCTCAATCCATTCATCCTCAGGCCTGTATTTATAGCATGGATTGCCCTGACCTGGTGCAGAACCTTGCACTTGGCCTGGCTGAACCTCATGAGGTTTGTATGGACCCACTTCTTGAGCTTGTAAATATGTTAACATTTATAGTATTGTTGCAATGTTCAGCTTATGCTTAGGTAAGCAATATATCTACCAAAAGGAAAACATTTACAACCACTTGAGGCATTACTAACTTTCTGGCTTTCTACATTTTATTTACAGAAGTATTATATAGAAATGCTGTGAATGCTTTCTCCCTTCTGCAAAGGTTTTAGCAGTAAATAAAATTTACTAATGCATTAAATAATTCTGCAATAATTTTGGCCAGACAGACCTTATTTGAATCTTTGCCCTGGATTTTTATTGGAACTATTGACCTATTTCTCTCAGTTCTGCCTATCTAGTAATTTGGTGTAAAAAATGATCATATGCATATTCTCTTTATTGAAAGTCTTGCTATGGCTGTCATAAATGATTGTATATATAAAAATATGTGGCTGCTTAGTAACAAAGTTCTTGTAAACAGTTTGGTCCATAAAAAATGAGTTTCAGAAATCTAGAGTTTAAGACCAGATCTGGTTTTTTGCTGTTTCCTCTCCTGCTGTCCCTTTGAAGCCTTTCTGCTGGTCTTTCTCACTATCAGTGGAGATAAAATACCAAGGAGTGATGATGTATATGAAAGCTATGATGCATATGAATAACAGAAGGCAGCACTGAATTGGAAATCATCATGTCAGGGATTAATAAAATCTATACAGAAAAGGAACTGTAAAGGTAACTTCACTGGAACCCTTCACTGTGTTATTGAGTACATCCTGGTAAACAGTTCCTGTCTCTGCTATCAAACTGAAACAAGATTTCCTAATCTGAAGTCAGAAGCATCATCTGCTGTTACAGTGTGGCAGACAGCACTCGTATATTATGTGTAATATTGTCATAAACTGTAAGAAGAGAAGTTTTGGAACCACACCTAAGAGCAAGGGTGAAGAACAGCATCTATTGACTCTTCACATTCCCTTCTCTGACTGAGCATGGAAGCCCTGCTTTGCATTTGCTCTCATTGCAGTGGTTTTTAATACATCTAACATTTCATTCCTAGCTATGGATGTGTTCTCCAGAAAAGTGATGGAAGAACTGTTTCTCAAAAGCTAATTGCTTCAAAGTAATCCTGTGATGGCTGAAGCTATACATTTCTCAAAATACTCAGACAGGCCCATGTAACTGAGTCTGATGTTTACCTGTTCCCTGGGAAGGCTACAGCTGTGTTTCCTTCTATCATGTACACACCACGTCTTCTGATCGGGTTTTAATGATAGGTGGCATATGTTGAATGAATAGTGATATACTTAGAATAAATTAAAACTGAGGACTCTGCTGAAGTATCTTTCTTATATTACAGAAATATTTTTAAATGATAAGGAAAAGGAGGAAATACATCCTAATCCATGACCTAGTGCGTTGAAGTTGACACTATCCATAATTTCTGTATAAGAACTGTGAATACTGTGTTGAAAACAAGACTGTATGTGCCTGCATGCAAATATATTTAAGTGGAAACACTAATATTGCTACAAGTAATAAATGGAGTAAAAGCACTGTTAGGTTTTCTTCTGTATTCTGAAACTTAGTTCTTTCAGTAGGGAAGGGGTAAGGTTTTTGGAGTCTCTTTTTAATAGATATAAATGCTCCAAACTATTACCTTTTGAGAAATCAGTAATACAGGATCATCTATTAATGCTATTCATACAGGCTTAAAACAGTGTTGTAAACAGTAATTCAAAATACCTGGTTTCTGCACCAGTAGAGACAGAGAGGTATTTATTCAGTAAGAGATGAAAGGCATTACCAAATAACATCCTTACGGACAAATCTAGCAAAAATCTGAGTTTTCATAATATTAGTTTATAAGCAGCATGTTAAACACTTGAAAAATACTATATTTTTGCAAATGAGTTCTGTCATGACTGTTCTAAATATGTGAAGTGCTTGTTTCAGTAAATGATTGCATTTAAATTTTCAGTCTTCTATGTTAAACGCCCTTACATTCAGGAAATCTAAACTGCTTTGGAATATGACAAGAAAGTTTGGATTTTTTGGGGTTTTTTTTGTAGTACATGTGCCTGGCTGAGAAAATGAGAACATTAAATTATTAATTCCTGACAGTCCTTTTGCTTGAAAATTATGCACTGTTCATTCCTAAATTTATCTGAAACAGTGAACCTTTGGGGAGATGTTTTTGGAACTGTCAGTCTGCAGAATGACCTCAAAATAAGCTTATGCTTAAATGACCAGTACTTTTATTTACACACATCTCACAGCACTAATATGCATCAAATGGTGCAGCAGATTCTACGTATGGTCATTTTGCTGTCCACTGGCTTCCATTCATCAGAAATAAGGGAAAGAAGAGACCTTTGCATTAAGGTGTAAATAGCTCTGTCATAATCATAGCTGAGTTTATAACTTTGCTTTTCAGAATCAGTGCAACACCAGTCCCCCAGCAAAGTCAAATCACAGAAGAGTAATAAAACTGACTGAGGTGGCTACTTCACATTCCTCAAGCCACTCACTTTTTACTCAGCATAGAAGATCTAGTATTGTCAGTTCATTCCCATGGCCACTTCACCTTCATCAAAGGCAGGCAGAAATGAGAAGGCATCTGTCATGGTTTGACCCCAGTTGGCAACTAAGCCCCACACAGCCACTTGCTCACTCCCCACATGGGATGGGGAAGAGAATCAGGAGGGTAAAAGTGAGAAAATTTGCTGGTTAAGATAAAAATAATTTAACAGATAAAGTAAAAGCTATGCATGTAAGCAAAGCAAAACTAGGAATTCATCCACCACTTTCATGGGCAGGCAGGTGTTCAGATATCCCCAGGGAACTGGGGCTCCATCACGTGTAACAGTGACTTGGGAAGACAAATGCTATCACTCCAAAGGTCTTCCTCCTCCTCCTTCACCTCCTTCTTCCCACTGCTTTATTTACTGACCATGTGTTGGCATCGTGTGTTGGGTATGGAATATCCATTTGGTAATTGGTGTCACTGTCCTGGCTGTGTCCCCTCACAATTCCTTGTACTCTCCCAGCCTCCTCATTGGTGGGGTGGGGAGTAGAAAAGCCTTTGACACTGTGCAAGCACTCCTTGTCAATAATAAAAACATCCCTGTGTTATCAACTGTGTCCAGCACAAATCTAAATCAGAGCTCCATACTGGCTACTGAAAGAAACATTAACTCTATCCCAGCCAAAACCAGCACAGCATCCGTGGGTAATGATCTTCTGAGTGGATTGTTTCAGAATGCAGTCTTACGATGTTAGTAGCAGTGTACTGTTTTCAGCATACTGTATTTTAGGGTTTTTTGAATACTGACCCTCCTGTGATGTATAAACAGCTGTGCCAGTCATGGCAGTGTTTCTTTTGCAGAGAAAGTTTTTACTTAATTCAGCTAGTTTGTTCTACTAGAGAAGTCTGACTTCTGCACTGAGATTGATTAATTTTAGACTTAACTTCTTCTATTGCCTATATAAGCTTTCTTAAACTTGCTCTTAGGACTATTCAGTCATTATAAAGTTCAGCAGAATCTAGAGTCACGTTTGTATTTGTCAAGATCTGTGTAATGGCAACCCACTTGTTATATGCTTAGGTATAAATTTATTAGACAATTCTTATGTTGTTTTCTTGAGCAGCTTGAAATGAAAAGATGGTTGCTCTGTTCCTTAAAAACACTTCTGTGATATTTTTGTCCCTGTATCTTTTAAAGTACTTTATTGTAAATTCTCTTTAAGGCATAATTCTTTTTTTGTCATGCATGCATCCCCTTTCACCTAGATCAGTAAATGTGTTCATGTGTTGAAGTGGCTTACAGACACCAAGGCTCAGAGTGAGAACCATAGGTTCTTACGGGTTATTAGCTCAGTGTGCCTGGCAGGTGTGCTTGTATGGAGCTATAAAATAAAGGGTGTGCACAGTACTTTTGAAGAAGGGGAAGAGTGGACCTTTTCCCTAGTGCAAAGTTTATTTATGTACCCTTGAGTAAATTAGCATATCAAGAATAACTTAATGGATTCTAAAATGCGAATTTTAATTCTGGAGCACAGATGAGTGCATTTTGTCTGATACATGGCTACCAAATTTGGACCTTCTCAGTAAGACATCTATTTAAATTCTTACTACAAATGTTGGTGTGCAGAGACTCCTGAAAAATAAGTAGTGTGTACTGTTAAGTTGCTGTGGTTGTCCTTAGGGAAGTTTTAAGTGGGTTTTTTGCCATTGGTTGTTTTTTGTTTGGTGTTTTTCTGAAGGACAGTAATGTCTCATCTTCTTTGGGAAAAAGGTCTTTACAAAATCTGAACAATATCACAGTCTGAAAAATATCTCAGAAATTGAGCACATCTTTGATGGAGGCAGGGTAGGAGGGAATAAACAGCTTTAATTATTCTCATGGTGTTAAGATATTCATAATTTTCACTTTAAAAGTGATTCTGTTGCTTTTTTTAGATGGTCCAGCTGAAGCATCTGTTACAAATGGAGGCACTGCTGCTGTCACAGCACTGAATGATGACCTGGATATCTTTGGCCCAATGATCTCTAATCCTTTACCAGCAGCTGCAGTACCTCCTGCTCAGGTAAAATTTATGAAGCATATTTTGTTATATGTATGTGTAAATATTTACACGCACATGTGTATTTTCCTTTAGGAAATTGTTCATTCTCACAGAAGGAGTGCACACTTCTCAACACATCTTAAGCACCTCATGACTAGAGATGCTTAAACTGTAACACTGATATTTTTCTCACCTCTTCAAGCTTCTAGACTGTTTGGATATAGAAGTAGATGGTGTGGTCTTTCCTTCTGGTTATCCAGCTAAATTGGATTCTGTCTTACCCTGGTGATGGTAGTAATGTTTTCTTTTCATTTATATTCTTTGGTCTTTTTTTTTTTTTTAATAGGTATTGCTGAATATAACTTTATGTTCTCAGGTTATTTGGCATCAAGTCATCCTTTTTAAGACCTCTTATTGCTTTGTGACGCTGATATTTAGGAAAGGCTGCAGCAGATGCTTCTCTCTTAGACCTGCTAAAAATTTGGGGTCTGAGGTTTCATACTCAAAATCAAGAACAGATATCAAAAAAAATTTATGTTGCTACCTGGGCTGATTTGTCTTTTGTATCATCTTGGAACTTGTACTTGAGAGTAGTATAACTCTTGCACCTGGCCTGCTCCTTCTTATAGCCATGATGGTTTGGCAGCAAACCACCACCATGCCTGCTGTAGCCTGGAAAGGCGGCTTTGGGACACACAGAGAAACTGCTTGAAGCTGCAGCTCTCCTAAAGCAGCCATACGACTCAAAGAGCAGGGTGTTGGTGATGCACATGTACCCAGACTGGCTTCTGAGAGGGAGGTTTTGGAGTAGTGCTGGGGTAGCTTCTCCATCTGGGGCATTTTGTTAAGGTCATTTAGAAGCTTATTTTTGTGTAGGGCTTTCTGTCTCACTGTGCTGAACCAGAAAGAATTGTGTGTATTCTTGAATTTATGATTCTGGGATGTGTGATCTGTACTCTCTTCATCCTTTAGTTTTCATAGTATGTACCGTGGAAGAGATAATGATGAAAAGAGATAATGATGAAAAGGAGTTCTGTGTGCCTTAAAGCAGACGTGTTATTCAACAAATTTTGTTACCCTTTACTCTTCTTTCCCTGCTTGCTGCTGAGGGCTGACTTTGTGCAACATGCTAGCGAGAGTTTCAGAGACTGAAACTATGTTTCTTTTTAAACATCATGCTACAGATAGAGCAAACTTCCCACCCTGTGTTAAGCTACCCATAAACAGTGAGGGAAATAACATGTATATTTGCATTTGGATGTGTTAGCTAAAATTGCAAAGGAAATTGTTGGTGTAGATTTTCTTATCTCTTGTGGAAGTCTCTGGTCAAAGTACTAGGAAGAGCAACATTTGAGTGCTTGTTATCTGCTGTTCTAATGTTTTATGTCAAAATTGATCCCTGTAGAGCTAGATGTGCAAAGCAGTAACCCCTTTCTAGCTTCCCTTAGTTTTTAATTTATTACATTTGGGTGTAGATTGAGTAAATTCAAATCTAGAATTGTGAAGTTTTCACCAGATCTCAAAATAAATGGGCCAATGGTAGTATTGTACATAATGGGTAGCACTGAATTCTGGTTTTCCCCCTTTCCAGCCATTCTGAAGCTGGAAATGATGACTGCTGTATGTGGTTACTGTGTGCCCAGGAGAAAAGAGCAACCTAAGAAAGAAGAGAAAAGCCTATTTTTGTTTCTATTCCTTGGACATGTGATGTGACCTGCTGGTTAAAGAATTATTTAGCTGAAGAATGCTGGAAATCCAAAAGAAGGCTAAATATTTAAGAGGGAAAAAAAGCAAAGTAAAGGGTGATACCCTAGGTGATAATGACTAGTGATGGGTTAAATAATGGAGTAGCTACTAAAGCATGCTGAATTGTATGTATGTATAACATTTTAAAGGCATTTCTGTGATAAAGATTTGGTCACTGGACTTTTTATGAGAGTAATATTTTGGCATGGTGTTCATCTTTGTGCTAATTTCTAGACTAAGTATGGTACTTACTAAATTGATTAAAAAGTGGTAAAAAGGACAATACTATTCTCAATATCTGGTGAGTATCACCTTGTTTATGTACTAGAAAGCATGAATATGTTCACTTGCTGTAAACAAACCTGTCCAGATTTGTAGTGACATTTTTCTTTCCTCTGAGTGCTGTAATCAGGAGGAACAAACAGAACTTTCAGCAAGCATTTTTTTATCAAGCACACAATCCTTATGGTGTATTGCAAGATTTAATTCTTGCTTGTCTTCCATTTTTAATCAGTATCTCAAAGAAAATGTAGTGTAATCAGATAATCTACAGATAAGAGACAGGAACACGGGTAGGTAGCAGAAGACAGGTTTCTGATGGTGATTATGTGGGTTGCTTGCTGAAGTGAGGCAAAGAGAATATTATTATTATCCTGGGTGTTTATTATCCTGAATATTATTATTATTATTATCCTGTTTTTCTTCAGGATTATCAAGACCAGGATGGTGGTGTCTAGTCTGGGAGCTGAGACTAGGGAGAAGTTGCCTCTCATTTGGCAGTGCTATAAGTATTTTGTAAGATCTTTCACCTTGCACCATGGAAAAAAGTTGTATGGGATTCAGAGAAGAGTTGGAAGAATGCAGGGTGCCTTACTATGGGAGGGTTTAAGGACTTGATCTATTTAAATTTCTTGAAATAATTAAGAGGTGTTATTATTATGTGAAATTATTTTGTGTGAGGTGGTTATTGGTGAAGCGGGCATGAACTCAGATCAGCAGTTGAGTAACCCTAACATTCAGTTCCTGTGGTTGAAATTGTAAAATTTAAAGTAGAAGTCCATCATCAAACCCTGGCTTCAACTTGTTTGAATATCTATTAACTGAATTTATTGAAATTTTTAAAAATTAAGTAGAAGAAGAGGTTCAAATGTGGAATAGCATGGCTTGCTTTCTCGCTGAGATATTTACCATTACGTTCTGCATTGTAGGTGTGTCTGAGCTGCCACAGTGAGATTTGAGAGCTTTTCTTCTGAAAAAGAAGGGAATTTATTGGTGCACCTCAAACTGATCTGTATGACCCTTGAGTTTTCACAAGATTGCTTTTCTTCTCCATTTTAACCTGAAAGGCAGCATTTAATGCTAAATGCACTCTGTTTTATGGCACTGTAGAGCACAGAAATGTCTGTTTGAATGTTTTATTATGAGACTGAAACTTCATGATGTCTGCAAAACTTAGGATTTATGTCCATTGTCATAGCCAAGACATGTTTTTCAAGTGAAAATAAAAGGATTTGTTTCTCCTTTTTCAAATGTGACTTGAACATTGATGATCATGAGTACTTTGACTCTGCTTTCAGATATGTGTCTTTATCACAGTTTTCAAAAATATTTAAAATGTTTCTTCCACCATTCTGTATGGCTCTGTGCTATTATGCAAACAGTTGAATTTGTAAAGGACTGGTAAAGAACAATATGTGACAGAATAATTTGGGTCTTTATAGAATTTTGTCTATTAGCAAATTCAGGGGGGTTTAAGAAGAGTTACCTTAAGCAGCTTCTACAGTAGAACTAGATAAAAGGCATGTGCTATAAATTATGCATTATTTATGGGCACAGAAAGGAAATAAGAACATTTCATATGTTTAATTATGTTTTTTTCATGTGAAGTGGGCATAGCTAAATTATAGGTGTTAGAATAGGGTTTGTTGCCAAATATTGTGTAGGAACTGAGGTTCAACAAAGGTCTATCATTTTTATAAAACAATCTCCTAAATTGTTTTAGCCAGATGTTAATTTCAAATTTTGTATGGTATGTCTTCCAGCTAAAGTGTGATCTTCATTCTTCAGTGAAATTTTTATTGAGGAAGAGAAGGGGAGAACTGTGAGGTATTAAGTTTGGAAGTATTAATTCAGTGAAATATTTAATATGTCTTTCTCCAAGCAGGATACTCAAATCTAGTCAGCTTAAACTTTCTTGGATTGTGTGTGAGTGTGTGTGTGTGTGTGTGGGCCTGATTTGAATTGTACTGTATTGGGAGGTGAGAATCAGTTCAGTGGCTACAAAAGTGTATTTTCATAGAGATGGTGTAAGTTTTTCATGATTCATATCTGAAAAACTTTGGTGGCATATTTTAGATAAAGAGATGTTCATAAATACTCATTTTTCCCTGAGGTGCAGTGTGTGTATCTAGCATGGTTGCCATAGATTGGCAGACAAGTTTCAACTTATTAATGAATTGTGGTGATATTAATGTGTCAGAGTCCTCAGATTTTATGTAAAAAAATGTGTTGTTTCAGAAATTTGCTTTATCATGAGGGTTATTTAAACAAGGCAAGACTGGAGGGCTGTGTAGTACTATTCCAACACAATCAGTTGAAATGCTTGTAGCTTGTGCTTACATTTGCTTTACCCCGTCTATATTTTCGGGTATCTGAAAGCAAAAGTTTCATTTCTTCTAATGGAGTTAGAGCAATTCCAAACGTGACTACAGGCTGGGCAGTAAGTTGAGAGCAGGCCTGCACAGAGGGACTTGGGGGGCTGGTGGGTGCAGATCTGAGCTGGCAATGAGCACTTTCAGCTTGAAAACCCAGCAGTATCCTGGGCTGCTCAGGAGAAGTGGGACCAGCAGGTCAAGGGAGGTGATTCCCCGACTCTGCTACACTCTCATGAGAGCCCTGCCTGCGGTCTGGGGCTCCAACAGAGGAAGGACATGGACCTGTTGGAGCAGAGGGGGGCCACAAAGATGCTCAGAGGGATAGAGCACTGGTCCTGTGAAGTGAGGCCAAGACAGTTGGGGTTGTTCAACCTGGAGAAGGCTCTGGAAACACAGTGACCTTTCAGTATTTGAAGGTGGACTACAGGAAAGATGGGGAGGGACTCTTTTTTAGGGAGTCTAGTGACAGAACAAGGGAAAATGGCATCCGACTGAAAAAGCATAGGTTTACATTCAATATTAGGAAAAAGTTCTTCACTGTTAGGATGGTGAGGCTCTGAAACAGGCTGCCCAGAGAAGTTGTGGATGCCCCCATCCTTGGCAGTGTTCAAGGCCAGATTGGACAGGACTCTGAGTAACCTGATCTGGTGACGGGGGTTGGAACTTGATGATTTTTAAGATCCCTTCCAACCCAAACCATTTATGAATTAATGATTATACTCTCTTTGGTGCTTTAAATGCCTTAGATGGAGGACAGTGAAAGGGCAGACATCATACTCCAGAACCAGAAGGAGTCAGCTGAACAGAATCTAGAGGAACAAAAATTTATTTTGAGTTCTAGAGAAGGGAAATCTGAAGGAGTTGGAAATGGGACGGCAGGGAATATAAATGTTTTCAAGCCTAGACAAGGATGATTGCAAAGGAAATGTATTGCTTGTTGTGAGTACTGGACATGCAGCAAAAAATAAAGTTGAATTTTTAATTTTATTATGAGGTTAATTATATTCTTGGATATGATTTGAGAAAGTGATAGAAATCTTAATCTTTTTCAGATATTGCAGATAATTCCTAAAAGCAAGAGAACAGATGAGATTTCTTAGTGTTTTTCTTTGTGAACTGAATATAGTTGAGTGCTCATTTCCTCATTAGTTATTAACAGGAAATAACAGTTGATTATTTTTAATGGAACTGGGTAGATGTCTAAAAACAAAATATGCGAAATCAAAACAGGAAGAGTTGAAATAAACATCAAGTCCATTTACAGTGCAAAGATAAAAAGGGTAAGAATTGTATATAGAATTTAAGACCTTAATAATGTACTTAGTACCTTGCTTACATAAGAATAATTGTGTGCTAGGCTGTATTTTCCCCTATGCAAATAGATCTTCCATTCAGCAGGGAGAAATTGAAAATATTGTGTGGGGCTATTATTTATCACCATACAAATAGAAAAGAGTAGAGGCCTGGCTTTTCTACAGGCCATCCCTACTTTCCTAGATACTAGCCAGAGCCAGAGACATGCCAGTAGCAGGAAAGTGCACATGTGCTTTTTTCTCTCCTGCAGTCCTTCTCTCAACTCCGTGTGTCCCACTGTCCCTCTTTAATTTCCTCTGTTGCCACCTCTCTTTCAATTTGTAGGGAAAAATCTGTTGCACTGATATCATGAAACTGCTTATCAGTATGATCCTTAAGCACCTGATGAGCATTTAGGTTTAGGATAATGACTCTCTAAGAGCACGGTGTGTAGGAAAATGGTTATATGAATGCCAGGTGTGTTTTTATGGAGGTCTTGGGTAGCATGACAATGTTAGAGATACAAAAATCATGTCAATGTTGGTTGTTTTTTACCTTGGATGCCACCTGCTGTTTTCTTGCCATGTATTTTGCATTCCCTTCCATTTATTCAGCTGATGAACACTTCAGGGAGTACTTGTCCGGTGCTTTGGCTCCTTTGAGGATCTTCCAAAACCAAACCGAATGAAGAGACATTAAATGAACATTTAATCTTAGGTTGTAAACATAACATGATCAGACCTCCAGGCTTCCAGCTCTGCCTTCTAGAGAAAAGCACATCCCTTCCTTGCTGCCTGCAGGCAGCAAAAGGGAAGCTCCCTCTGTTCACCCACTTGCAGTGCTCCTGTGTCCTCCTCCCTGCAGCCTGCTGGGCACAGCTGTGGCACAGGGGCTGTCCCAGGCAGGCACCACAGGAGATGCGTGTCACCAGGGAACAGTTCCGTAATGGGCCTTCCTGGGTATATGCACAGGAAAACTAGTACTGCTCTTCAGGATGGGCTTTTATCTGAACATGTTGTTAAATCTGATTCTGGTATTTTTAAAGACTGGTTATGTCACACTGATAAAGAATTGTCTCAAATAGGGCTTCCTACTACCCACTTAAATAAAAATTGATTTGCTTTGCAACCAGAAATTATTGTGAGAAGGAAGAAGCTTTTTTAATATCTACAGAAAAAATAGGATAATTTAATTGTACACTGGCTAGAGAGGTTTCACATGTTCCCTCTGTAGTGATGTCAGCCCTGTCTGGGTTGCCCACTTAGTCCTATCGACTTTGGCCCAAATTTGCTGTAGTATAAATGCAGGTTTTTCACTTTCCAGAAAGTTCCCCCTTTTTTTTTTTTTTTCTTCTCTTCCCTTTCTACAGCAGTTTTGAAAATTTTTTACTATCAATTGTGTGAATCTGCAGTCCTTTCTCTTGCTGGTTTCTTGCAAATTTAGCTGGTAACAGAATTGTTATGTGTTGTTTTGATTTTTTTCCCTAATCTGTGGCACTGCCTTATGCTAGAGGTTTTAGCACTTCAGAAGTCATATACTTAATGTGTTTTTTGAAGCTGCATATTGAATATTTGTATTGTGTTTGTAACAAATCCATTATGACCATAGTGGACTTTTCAGGGCTTAGTCAGCAGCACACCAGCAAAAGCAGCAGATCCGAGATAGCTGCTTTAAGGAAGATTATAGGGGTGTTCCATATCTGTGTATTTTGTGATGCCCTTTGTCTGTCTGCTAAACTTGGGTATGGGATCTCAATAAACAGACCTGGTTGCATGTTGAGTTCATTGACAGTGGTATTCCAAGGAAGATTTTCCTTTAGTATGGAGAAGAGTTGAAACTCATGCAAGCTGTGGGCACAGTAGGTATATGCTAAGCAGTTGGGGATCACTTAGCTCGACTAAATAGGGCCATAGTTTAAGTATGATTTGCAGTTCTGGCTCTTTTTCATTGTGCATGCAGTTGATTTGCACTAGAAGTTCCCACTGGTATCAGGATGAGTTGTGTATTTTAAGAAATATAACGAGAGCCTATGTATTGCCTGGTTACCCTAGAAATCCCCCATATGGAACTGTATGAGTATGAACAGCAACATAACAGCACTGAGAGACTGGATGTAATTTGCTTACAAAACATTCTGTTGCAAGAGCAGTACAAAGCCTGACAGCCTGTCTGTATTTTAGTTTTTCATTTGTAGATTGCAGTAAGTTTCAGATAATTATGCATTCTCAATAAGTGAAACGTGCTTACAGAGCTCTAAGCCAATTATGAACAATGTATTTTAGAAATTTTATTACTTGAAGTAGATAACCAAAATTTTGCCTTTTCTCCAAAGATACATTTCAAAGCACTTAATCTTTTGTTTTAGCTCTTCTCTAATCTATTCTGCACATGAGAGGATTAATGAGATGTGAATTTTAATCTCCTTATTGATTTCCTAATTATTTTTCATAATCTAACTTCAGCTCTTGATTTATGCTTCTCACTGATGAAAAATGTAGAAGCAACAGAAATGAATAATCTGTATGTGTACACCCTGAAGCTGGCTGAAGATTTAGTTTTCTTTGTTTTGTAACCTCCATCTGGTCTGAAGGTCTTTCCATATTGCCTGTACTGCTTTTTTCTGTCTTTAGTCATACCACATATTTTTAAATTCCCATTCACTTAAATTTAGTTTTTGTCAATTAATGAGGTTTTATTAAGTTGAGGGGCAAGGCTGTACAGCAAATATTTAACATCATCTTTTGCTAGTTTCTTTCAGTAGTCTGTCTTGTCTTTTATTTCCCAGAGCACTTCCACTAAACCAGCAGCTGCCACCTTGTCTGGAGCAGCCGGGGATCTTGATCTATTTACTGAGCAAACAACAAAATCCGAAGAGTCAGCAAAGAAACAACTCTCCAAAGACTCCATTTTATCACTGTATGGCACAGGAACAATGCAGCAGCAAAACGCTCCGGGTAAATAATGTTGTGAAGGTTTCTGTGCAGTCCTATTTTAATCTTTATCTAGAAAAGTTACCTCCTACAAGTATAAAGCTAAGGTTGGGTACATGCTACATATATTCAAATGAAGGTTTTTATTTTCAGCTTTATAAAACTGAGAAAAACTACTGAAATGTAATATGGATGCTAAAGAAAAACATATATGTGATTTTAATTTATTTATAGCTGTTCAAGTTATCAAGTGTACAATTTACTGAAAGATTTGTGAAGTTGGATTCTGCCATGCAATTAATCAGTGAGGGTCTGAGTCTCCAGTGTGCAGGCAGCAGTCTGTAAGGATCTCTGCAGAACTGTCAGAGCTTTGGTTTAGCTGTGTTTGTGTGAACACAAAGCTCCAATACAGCAACTGAAAGATTCTGGTTCACCGCAGGGATGCCAGACTTTCCTGGCAATTTAGCTCGTGGTGAGTCCCTTTCCTTTGAGAGTTTCAAAGTAGTTTTTTGCTTTTACCAGAAGCTAAATTGGCAACACTGACATACAGATGGACAGAGTTACCCTTACAATTATTTTGGTGCACTTCTGACTTATGGGATGGGGGTGGAAAATCACGAGACACTTCTGCTGAAATCTTCCCTTCTCTGGTACAGGTATGTTCATGGGCTCATCTTCTATGCCATTTACCACACAACCATCAACTCACTTTCAAGGCTTTCCAGCCATGGGAGTTCCTGTGCCAGCAGCAACTGGGATGATGGGAAATATGATGGGACAATCAGTGCCAGTCATGGGACAAAGCACAGGCGTGATGGTAGGAGTGGGAGTGCCCAATGGATTTACTGGTACTGCACCAACTGGTGTGATGGGACTTCCTCAAACTGTCGTTGGACCTCAAGGTGGAATGGTGGGACAGATGGTCACACCACCACAAAATAAGTATGGATTGCAACAAAACCAACAAGCTCAATGGAACCTCTCTCAGGTAAAGACTGGCCATTCCCAGACAAGAGTGAATTATGAATAATGATGCTTTTCAAATACAAAATATGTGGCAGTAGGAGGAAGGTTAAGTGTAGCCAAGTTAAAGACTACTGGACTGTGAACTGCTCAGAGGCACATGTTAACAAACCAGTGAATAGTTCAATGAAAGATAACTACTACGAAAGCACAGAATAATTTTGCCAGGGTAGACCAAACTCAGTTCTCAGCTTCCATAGCTCTCTTCTCATCCTGTCATCAGAGCCAGCCAAGTAAAAAGCTTAGCTCAGGTAGAGTTACAAAATTTGGGAATGAAACACAGCCTTATAACTAAAAGCAGAATTTTAACTTCTCAAGGATAGCCATTAACAATAAATACTTTCATTCTCAGATTTCAGGATAAATTTTGGTGGAATGCGAAGTGCTTTCTGCTCTTAACATTTTCCTGTAGATAACTTGCTTAGGTGTGTCTGTTATTTATCTGTAGCATTTCCATCCTATGTTTTAAACATGTTTCAAAGATTCTCTAGAAGGGTTAATGTACGTGTAGTACTGTATTTGTACATTTTCTAAGGAAACATCTTGAAATCAAGTATTTGAGCATTTATGAGGGCAGGGTGAGGCAGAGGGATCAGACTAAAATTATTCCCTTGGAGTTCAGCGTGGATGATAGCAACTATTTTTTTCATACTATTGTTTGTATTATGATAACAATATAATAAATCCATACTTCTTACTTAGTAATGCAGGAAGAGAACCTTACTGACTGACTTAAATTGGATGATACAAATTTTTACTGTTCTGCTCCATTTTACGGTGTGAACATTTATGAAGGTAAACAGCATTGCCTGCATGGTTAAAACAGCTCCTGTTTGAAAATACAGGCTGTCATTCTGCTTTGAAAAGTAATTCTTAAAAGTGAAAATTTCAAAATATCAGATCAAAAAAAATCTGCAGATATGCTGGTGGCAGTCTTTTCATAGGTAGCTAGCTTTAAAAAGACTCATATCAACTTTGAAATTAAAATCTTGCCTCTTATCAATTACATGTTAAAACTTGGCTCCTGAACAAGTTCTTCACATGTTCCTGTACCCCTTGCACATCAGATGTTGTCAGTATGATGCCATTCCACAGTCTGCAGAACTCTGATCTAAACTCTGACTAGTTGAAAGGGGGAGAGCTTGCTTTACCAGAGTAACATGTTTTATATAGTCTGCTGCTTAAGAATATATTCCAGAAGAGATGAACCACTGGGTAAAGCATGTTTTTATCAGCCTTTTTTTATATTTCCAGGTTCAGTGGTGGCTTGTTTTCTGCAGATACACAGTTCTGTGTGAAAGCATACGGAACTTAATTTTACCCTGAAATGCTAGTTTGCAATTTACTGGAATTTTTTACCAGTGTTTCAGTTTCATTTTGCAACCTGGTATTGTTCACTCATGTTTAAATAAACTCTGACTTTCACCTAGTGCTGCCTTTAGTTTGAATCAAGTGTTACTTCTCCAACATCTCTGTTCATTGGCTCTGATTATTAATTGCTGATCCAAATGCTCTTTTGCTCCTAAACTCATTTTGACATTGAGCATTTAAAATTACAGTGACTAGATATTTGTAAAGACTACAAATCATTTTGCAGCAGCTCTGAAGTGAATGTGCTGAATTTTGAATTCTTTCCCACTTTTAGCTAGATGTTAAATTCATGTGAATTTAATTTCATATGGATTATTTTACTTTTTTTTTTTTTAAGGAATTACAGCATTTGGGGTAGATTCTTTAGCAAGGATGGTTGGATAATACTCAAGTTTATAAATTCACCTCATTCTTTGTTGATTGTCACCTAAATGGACAATTTCTGTAAAAACTGATGTAGTCAAGATTATGAAGTCTCCAAAGAAATGTTGCTGGGAAAAAAAAAAAATCTGGAGCTGCAAGTGCAGACAAGACTACATTACTGGCTTTGCTGTTTCTTTATTACAGTTACTACAATTTTGTTTGTTAGCTTTGAAATTGTGAAAGCAAACTTTCACCAACCAGCCACACTGGCCACCTCCTTCACATGCTGTCAGTTCTCATGTGACACATACACCAAGTGCTGCAGCCCATCAACTGATGTATGTTGGTGGTTGAAGGGCTCCAGAAAAAGCTTAGAAACTTAGATAGAGTCAATATTTTTATTTAATGAGAAATATTTTTAGGGAAATGTAACTGGGTGGCTGGTTGGCAGGACTGCTTTTGGCTAGCAGCGTGCTGTGTTTCAGTGCCAGTGCTAACCAGGTTCATGTGTGTGTGTGTGCTTTGCAGATGAATCAGCAAATGGCTGGAATGAACCTCAGCAGTTCCAGCAACGTGATGGGCTTTGGCCAGCCCCCCAACACAGCCGCAGGATGGACTGGAAGCTCCTCTGGCCAGACTCTCAGCACACAACTGTGGAAATGAAAGTTGCAATAGAAATCTTTCCCAGAACAGCCACCTAACATTCCTTGTTCAAATACATTTACTTTTGCTGTTCCTTCCATGTACATATATATTCTTTTTCTTTTTCCCCAGCTGTTCAGATTAAGAATATAACTGACTGACCGTGTTGTGGTCTATATTGATTTAAATTTGATGTAGTGAAAAGCAGATCAAATATATTTATACATCATTGGAAGCATTTTCATACAATGCATATGATTTCATAGACCATATTAAGAAGCTGCTTAACCACATACTGATTTTTTTTCCCTCAAAATTCTAGATCAAATGTTTGCATATAAGGGATGTAGCTATCATGTTAGTAATATCCAAAAATATGAACCCCAACCCCCCAAAATTACCCAGTAATCCTGTAGAAGGTACTGTATGAACAAATGTTTAATCATATATAAATAGAATGTAAATGTATCACTGAGCAATGTTTTCTAGTGTATCAAACAAATTTTGTTTCATCATACATTTCACTGTGATGTTGTTATGGTGTGCATAACAGGGAATGTGGTTATTAAAAGAAAGATAAACCTGGATGTTACTGTAATTCTACAAATCAATAGTTTATTCTTCTAAAGATGAGCATTTGATGCATTTGAATTTCCTGTGGTAAAGTCTCTGACCTGGCTCAGGAGGCAGGCGCACAGTGTTAAAAGAGAACTGACAGCACAATATACATTCAAGGTAACTCGGTGTGAACAGATGTATTTTGTCTTGCAGAGAGATCCAGGTTTATGACAGTGATTGTGTTTACATTTTATGGTGCCTCGTAATGATAAAATGTTATTTCCCTATATTAAAAGGATAAATCCGTAAATGATTGTGGGTTTTTTATTTCATTATTGTATGACCTGTTTGGTACTTTTAATGAAGTAAAACATGTTCAGTTTGGAGGATCCATTTATACAGATATTTAGACCAACAGTTTGTGAGTTAAAATCAGTTTATAATTGCACCATTAAGCTGGATAAATACAAAAAATATATACATAAATAATGATTTTGAAAATACTCCATTGCAGCCATGTTTATCTATGTGGAAACAGCGTTAAAACAAAGTGTCAGTTTATTAAGCTGAGAGCTCAGAAATGCATGCAGACAAGTTAGAACAAAGCACACCCACTTGATTTGCTTATTAGAGTCTCTGAAAGCTTCCTTTTGTTTCCACAGCAGTCTGTCAGGTCTCAGGCAGAAGCTGATGACTTTAGCTGTCCGAACCGGAACACGCGCTGGTGCGTCCACTGTCCTGCTCTTGCGTGGGACTGTCCCCCCCTCATTGTCATACCTCAATGTTGACTGTGTCCAGGTGGTACTTTGGCTCGTTAGCTAGATTCACTTTCTCTGTTCGGGTGTGCCACACAAGAACCTAGAAAATACCGTGGGTGTCAGTAAAGTCATCTACGGAGATGACACGAAGGCTTTTCACGAAGTGTGGCAATCGGTACCTTTGTGCAGTTGTTTGCTTTTGGCTCCAGTTCTTCCACTGTTGTTATCTGTTTCAGAAAATCAGATTCTTGCATTCCTGGTTGAGAACCACGACGCTTGAATACGGCTTTGGGATGCGACAGGATCACTTGAAGACTCACAGCAAATCCTTGGAGAGAGGAAGACAGGAAAAAAGGTTGAGAGAAACCTTTAGGCTGTACATTTTTTGCAGTTATACTTATGCCTAGAAATCTCCCATGGTTTTTTTTTTTTAAGTGTGTAAATTTGATTATGTGAATAGACAGTATTTGGTAGGGTTGTACATCCTACATTGTATTGTTTTGTTTTGATTTGCCCTTAATGTACTATGAGATTTTTTTAGTTGCACTCCTTCAACATGTTAAATCTTAATTTCCCATCATGTAGATAATACATGCTTTCTTGTCTGAAAAGTCAGGTATTGCTAAAATCTTGGGTTATTCTTCCTTTCTACTTTTAATTAAGAAATAAAACTCTGTTATAAATAAAATAAAATGTATGAAATTTATACTGTACAAACCGTTCTACACTTCAAGATGAGAGCCGAGAAGAAAGGTTAAAACATGTTACAACTGTGATATTTAGATAGCTTTAGCCTGCAGATTTTTAACAGCCTTGTTGAGGAAAGACAAGTCCTACTAATGCTCTGCCTTGGGAATGACTTCAGCACCAGAAGTCTGCCAGGCAGTCTCAGCTGGTCTGAGCCTAGCACAGCACAGCTCAAAGGATTTATTCAGTGTACACACCTCTCTGAAATGCTTTTTTCTACTGACATGCATCAGGTTCCTTGAAGGGAGACTGCAAACTGAGAAATCACTGGTTTGAACAAACTCACTCTCTGTGAAGAAGCTCCCATGAATCTCTAATTTGTCATTATTTTACAGAACTCTCCAATTTTCCTTCAGCAGTGCTCAGTCATATGTATGCTTCTTTAACTATGACTCAAAAACTTGACTGATAGACTTTAAAGGAAAATTACATTTGTAACTAACTCCTTTTGTGTGATTGCCAAGCCTACCAAAGAAATCCTTTCTTCATCAGTTCAGAGTGGTTCCAGCTGTCCCTTTATGACACAAATAGTAACAGTTTTGACATCAGTTCTGGAAAAGTCTAAGAGCATTTAATTCCAAGGCCACTATTAAAATTTTATCAGTTTAAAATTGAGTATAACTTTCTATAGCTTAATGTAACGCTCTTTTAGTAGAAATATCTTGCTGCTGTATTTTCCTTGAAAGTATCTCTGACTTTTACAGGAGCCTTTTGAAGAGGAAAATGTAAGGAGGTAATTACTGTATCACATGTAAAGAAAGGCACACTGAAACCACTTCATCATGGTCTTGCTTGTAGGAAGAAGACACCAGGAAGTTTCTTTTGTTTTCAGTAAGAATTTGAACCCTGAACTCTATGGCTTGGGTGTAAACAGGTCCCAGTTCACTGATGCACACAGAAAACATTTATACACTTATCTTTGATGTATCTTTATACATCCTGTCCTGCCTGGGGTACAGAATAGGTGTCTGCATGGACAGGGCTTACCCACACCTTGCTTCTCACTCCTTCTAGCCTGGCCATGAGGGAGCACAAGGTGGGCTCTTGGTAGCCAAATTTAATCATTTGGGAAGAGCTGAGGGTGAGAGTTTAAACTCCCTCAGCTGCAGACAGTATGTACAGCCAGCTTGCTGCACCTTGAAAGGGGAGCAGAGACTTAGTCCTGATGAACAAAATGGTCTGCTTCACTTTAGTGGTTTTGGTAAGGTTTTGTTGGCCTTTTTTCCTCACATAAAACAAACTATAAATTTTGGATGCAACTGGGCTTTAATAATTTTGGGCACCAAAAAAATAAGTTCTTTTGCATGGGAAGGCATTTTTGGAACCCTGATCAGCTGTGTGAGCTGCTCTTTCTTTGTAAATATATTTAAGATTCAAGCTGCCCATGCATAAAGTAGAAAATGAAGTAAACACCACAATTAGTGTCCTAGATTTTAGTGCACAGAAATAATCTCACTCTGAGCAGAAGAAACGCAGATTTCTGCTGTTTATCTTTGCAGTGGCAGTGTGGCTCCCTGGACCCATAGCCTATACTTATCCATACATTAATTTCTCATAATTTCTCTTGTTGCAAGGCTTGCTCCTCTGTTGAGAAAATTGCATTGAGTATTGAGTTCTGAGGTTGGATTTCTCCTACACACAGATGTTCAAGTGGGCTGTGGCCCCTGCACGTGACACGTGCCCTTGCTACCATGCTATTGCAAATTGTCATTTGAGGATGCTCTGAAAACTATTGGTGCCATCAAGTAAAAGTTAAATTATAAAGTGAGTGTTGCAGGTGGCAAGAATGTGGGCTACTCTGCACTGACTGGCCTGAGGTTTGTTTCCTTGGTCAGGGTCCATTCAGTCTTTGTTTGTTAAAAGAATCCGAAAAAACCCCAAAAAGCAGCATCTTAAAGAGATGAAATAATTCAAGGAGACTTATCTCCTGGCTCTCTAGTTCTTCAGCTCTGCTTTATAATGGCTTTATTTTCACATCTATGACATTTTGTAAGATGGATTTGAGAGAAAACCACTTTCTAGTGATAACTTTGACTTAATCATATGTGTCATTTTGGTGTTTGGTGTCAGAAATAAAAGAGACAGCTCAAGTTTTAACCAGTCTGGCACTAATTATTTCTCTCAGTAGATAATGATCCTGGGCTAATAGATGAAAAGACAGTGTTGTTTTGAAATCTATCACTAAACAGGGATTTATCTTGGATTACTGTCTCCATTGTAGCATAACTGAAGAGTGCTTACATGCATACAGTTATTTTACTTAATCATTATTCCGGCAAGGTCATACTGGGCTTAACTTCACATGAAATGCCACACGACAATTTCATAGAGGGAGTGTGAAGAGGTGTTTAGGGGTTTTTTTGGTGTTTAATGCAAGGTTATAAATTAAATCTAATTGGCTGAAGAGCCACCTAGATAGGTATTAATTTGTTGGAGGACATGATACCTGGGAGACATAGCAGATACTACATCTGTTCTTCTTTCAGTGTAAGCTGTTTCTGTTAATTCACACCTTGACTTGTGTTAGACCAATGGCTTCTGTTAAAAGGCAGAACTATTTTTCTTCATCCAGTTCAACTTGAGCCAGGGTTTAAAAATTTTGTTGCCATGGTTAATGCCATTGCTTCCTGGATGTTCTAGGTAGGATAGTAGCTAAAGGCAAGCTGGAATCTTGAGTGTTTATCAAGTGTATAAATGCTAATGCTCTGTGCTGATGTTGGAACAGATGTCCTGGTTTCCACATAGATCAAGATTCCACCTTTGGCTTGGGCTCTGCAGCTTTCAAGTTCTGTTCTCCCTGTGGTGTACTTTTTGGCTTGCAGTAAGGCAGAAATGTCTAACCAGGAGGTTTTGTAGTTAGGATCAAAGGCATCTGCTGACATTAATTCACCATGAAAGAGGCACTTGATTATAAGCCCAATGTTTGAAACAGTATTTATCCTTGGATGGGAAGGAAGATTGGTGTTTTATTTTGGTTTTGGTGGGGAGTTTTGAGTGCTGGCTGCCATACCACTTAAAATTTTTTTGTTTGTGACTTCCAGCAGTAGCTATTTCAGTCAAAATATGCCATGGTTTGCAGTGTCATGAATAGACTGGCATTTTGCTCAGGGAATCCTAAGAAATATGAGATGTACTGAAGATCTCATGACTATAGCAAAATTTTAAGAAAATACAATGGAAAAGGTGGTTGCTCAGGTCCTAGCAGAGGTGCCTAGGGCACAGTGGATGAGCTCTGGACCCAAAGTCCAAAATCTGCTGGCCCACTGATTTACAGTCACATATTAATCTCTGTGACTGAAGTAGCTCCTGGAATGCTAATGCAAAGCAAGCATCTGCCTTCTTGAACAATGTTCACATTAGGAGAATCACAATCTGACTTTTTTCTTGACTGATCCAAAATCTGGCAGTAAGGAACAGGCCAGAAGTAAAACAACATTTAATATAGAAGACTTGAATTCAGATCCATACTAAGTAACACAGTTTTTCCTTTCCACCTTCTCTCTCACTTTTCTTCCCCAAGGGTAAGCAAGTCTGTCAAACTCTAGAACCCACCTCAATTAAAAACTGAAGCAGAATTTTGGAAATACCAGAAATAATTTGTGTGGTGTGTTGGTTGCCAGGCAAGAAGCAACACAGGAAACAGCTACTTTGCTTTCTGAATCCAGTTTAGCATTGGAGAATAGCACTGTCAGCCACAAATTTCTCAAAATAAATAACCAATGTTTAATGAACTGACCTAATGTGATTGCCATGAGCAAGTGTGTTTCGAAGAATCTGAGGAGGTTGGCCAGCTAGGGTCATTGAGCTGAGCCCAATGAAATCAGCAGGCCCTGAATTTAGCCTTGTATTTTGCTGTCTAGAATAAGAATTTTATTTGCTTAAAGTCAAGGATGTGCTTCTTCTGAACACCCACAAGTTAAATTGGTGATGCCAAACCTTTTAAGACTGTTCATACCCAGCCTCATGGTCAAATTCTTTTGATAATCACTGTGAAAGTTTGTTCACTAAACCAAAGGGAGCCTCCTTACCAGTGCATTTGGACACGAGCACAGAAGATTAACTGTAGGCAGCTGATGCATCTCCATATCAGTATTACTGTATGCACCTATCCTGTTTGCATGGCAGTATTTTAACAGAGATCCTTGATCTTCCTTATGTGCAGCATTTGGTATAACCTAAGTTCCTTGTTTATGGAAAAATGCCAACAATGGTCTGTCCAGCCTGGACTTAGGTTTGGTAGCAAGTCCCTGGAGGTGTGTTGGGAAGTCAGGAGAGAAGGGCAAGGGTAGGAAATTGTGTGTTGAATGCATCCTGTAGCCTGCACCTGCTCAGACACCTATGGAGTTCTGGACTTGCAGTTCTGTTCTGTTTGTGCCCTGACACTGTATTCCTGAGGGGAAGATGAAGATGCAAATTTCACATCATTTTTTAGCAGTCTACACTGCATCCATTTCTCTCCTTGCTAAAATTAAAAATGAAATTAAGTTTCTTCAGTATTTTTTGAAGACGAATAAAAGTTCTGTTGCAAAATCTTAACTCTTTGTTTCTGGTTGTGCAATAACTTCCTGTAAGTTTTGGGGGGTTTTTTTGTCTATATGACCCTCCCTTACATGACTTTGGTCAAAGTACAAGCAGGGAATGCTCCTAATGGACCTGCTTTTCCCTCATACCAGTGATTTAGCCAGCATTTGCAAGGTAAACAACTTAAGAACTTTCCATGTGTATCTTCATGTCTGGGTTAGAGTCCCTTGGCCAATGTGTAATGGCTTTCTGCCTGCTGCTGATGAATTATGGAGCACGCTCTCGCCTTTGTAGTGCCATCAGGAATCCCTTCTGGAGTCCAGTATCAATATGTATCTGCAAATCCACAGGGACTGTTCAGCTGCACAGCTGCAGTCCCTGAAGCACTGCATGGTTTTGGGCATTGAATACCTGCTTCACCCCTGAGGAATGCCTTTATGTGAACACCCAAATACTTATTTTTATGCCAGATCATGCTATTGACTTGAAATGCCTCTACAGTGCAGAAAAATTCACTAGAATTGCAGAAAAAGGTTCAGGGATAACCTTTTTGTCTTTGAGGTGATAGGAACCATTAGTCCTCTTTTATTTACTCTTTTAAACCAGTTGGGCTGTAAATACTGTACATATTTTTATCAATAATTTAAATTAATATAACAGTACTCTGTTAAGATGAGAAAAAACTGTACACTGACCTTTTCCCTCTCTCAGAACATTGGGGTATCAGGATTTAAAAAAAAAAAAAACCACCAAAAAGTGGCTATTTCTACCCTATTCTTGCCCTTGTATTCCTGCCTTTCCCTCCTGAGTACAGAAGATGTCTAAGTGCAAATACCATGTCATTTACTGGGAAACCAGCTTCTGCTGTATCAGAAATTGGACCTGTGCACAGTGGTGATTCATGTGGCAGTTGTGAATGTATACAAAAGATTGTCTAAGCATGGACTGCCAGCAAGACAGAGCTGTGTGGTGTGCAAACTTCACTGCAGATGATTGATTAGATTCATTTTGAAGCTTTTTTGCCTTCATCTACCAGGCAACAGCTGTCAGTGATTTTTCCCCTAAGCCCAGTGTTTCAAACTATATCTATCTACAGTTATCACTGTCATTCCAAATAACCAATGCAACATGAATAATTTCATGATAAAGTAGCGTTTTACAACATGAGGTCTAAGAAGGTCTGCATTTATGCTGCCTGGTTTAGATTGATGACAAAATGACAGGCAGGGACTCCTTGCAAGAATTGCTAGGATGAATTAATTTACAATTAACTTGTTTCAGACAGACAATTCATACAACATAAAAGCCAAGTTGTCACATAAAAATAAAAACAAATTAAAGTAAGTTCAGATCCCACCAAGCAGCAAATTAATTAGACAAGATGTACAAGCTTAGACTTCCAGGATAGTTAGTGCCAAAGGGCTGCACACTCTGCCAGCACTTCAGAAGTTTAAGAAGCTGCTTAAATGAAGAAATGGAAACATTTGTGTGTCACAAGTGAGCCTCACCTGCCATGTCGATAGCGAAGGGCCTGTCAGCTCTCCAGCCCGTGTACCAGCCGACCACTTTGCCGTTCTCCACCACCGGCCGCTCGTAGCGCCGGCCTCCCACCAGCCCCACGGGCCACACGGACACCTTGCGCGTCGTCCGCATCTGCAAGAGGCAGGCACAGCGTCACTGCCGGCTCCCTGCGGCTTTCCTGGCACTGCTGCTGCAAACCCACATCAATCATCGAGACCAGGAATTCAAAAGCAATTCTAGCTTACACACTGCGGCCCAAGGGCTGTGTGTGCCCACTCATTTTCTGTGAAATCTCCAGCTCTCTAGGCCATAGGCATCTCAATTCTACTTTAAATACCCTATTCATGGTATCTTTTATAACAAGAGTTTTTAAAGCTGTGAAAAAAACAGGGGGTTTTGTTCTTGTTTGTTTGGGTTTTCAAAGGCATAGTAGATCTTTTTTATCTGCAAGACTGCAGCATTCTGCCAGTGGGCTTATGTCTGTAGCTGAGATACTGTAGAGACCCAGTGAGAGAAAATAGAACAATAATGATTAATACACTCTTCACTAGGACAAGTACAATTAGTTTGGGACTTGTTAAAAATGCATTGAATAGAGGAAATTATGACACACAACTCTTTCCTACTTGCAGCAGACCTGAGGTACAGCTCAGATCTGTTAAGGATTCATGAAAAAAGATTGCTAAGGCTGTCTTTTTAACTTCTGTATTTTCCCTTTAAAAGCTCTGCTAAATTTCTGAGAAGGACAAAAAGCAGGCCAGGCAGGATGCTTATTATCACCAGCAACAGTTTTTCCCAGTGATGATAATTAACTAGATGCAAAACTGGAAGTGTGATCCTTATCTAGCATAGAAGAAGCCATAGGTATGAAAAAATGACTGTAGCAAGAAGTGTCCATGACTTGGAGTCACTTCAGGAAGGGCATTGAAGCGCTGGGGCATGTCCAGAGAAGGGCAGCAAACCTGGGGAAGGGTCTAGAAAGTGAATCCTATAAGGAGCATCTGAGGGAGCTGGGGGTGCTTGCCTGGAGGAAAGCAGGCTCGGCGGGGACCTTATCACTCTACAGCTGTCTGAAAGCAGGGTGCAGCCAGCTGGGGGTCAGCCTCTTCTCCCTGGTAAAATCAGGAAAAGCCTCAGGCTGTGCAAGAGAAGGTTCAGGTTGGCATCAGGAAAAAAATTCTTCACTGGAAGGGTTGTCGGGCACTGGAATGGGCTGCCCAGAGAAGTGATGATGTGACCATCCCTGGAAGTGTTCAATAAACTGGATATGGCACTTAGTGCTATGGTTTAATTGATGTGGTATTCAGGCAAAGGCTGGACTCCATCTTGGAGGTCTTTTCTAACTGTAAAGATTATGAGTCTGATTCAGTGACTTCAGGTAGCTGGTTCAGTGCTCCGTTTTCTCCATAAACAGGAGAAAACACAAACCTTGACACACTGCTCCCCATGGGAAAATCAGCCGGTCTGGCGTGAGAACTTGAGCAAGCGAGTGCACTGACACAGCGACTTGCATAACTTAACCACACTGGTTCAAAAGCCACTGTTTTAACACTGTGCTTTAAATGTGGTTCTATTTAAATGAGTATTAAACTCCTTCAGTGTAATGTGGCTTCATTTCATCTATTCTAAAAAAAAATCTTGTCTTTTGTTGTAATTGAAACTTATTCCTTTGGGAAAGGTTATCCCTTTTTCCATCCAAGCACTCTTCTCAGCAAAAACAAACACAGTTTTACATATTTGTAACTGCAGTCCCCTATCGATGGATGCTGAAGTAAAAGACAACCTTGGTTAAATATTAAACACTTTCCTCTCTCTCCGCCAAGGTGAAAGATTTATCATGCATATCATCAAGACTCACAGGAGTCACACCAGAAAAAAACAAAGACATCACGTCAGCGTGGTTCACATTTCTAAGCTAGAAGCATTAGCAGTTAGAACTTTCACATAAAGTATAAAATACATATCTAAAAATCCACAAAAATGCAGGCACACACAGAAGAGAGACATGCACCTTCTCTCCCTCCAATTATTTGTGTATCTTCAAATTTGTTTATCAAAAATTCCTCTCTTCCACCCTAATAACTGTTGCAGCAAGCTGGAACACCTCACTCAGTAGCTGCAGCCCATAGTGCATAAGAGCAGGGTATGTATTCAGCTGGCAATATAGGGAATTCTTGTGGTAAAGAGTGTCTCCAAGCCACTGCCTGCTTAATTGCCAGTGAGAGGCTGCCATGAATCTTTCTAAGGTTGTTGATAAATGTATTTACCTGTAACTGTTCTCCCTGCTTAAGTTTAAGTTTCCAATCTCTCCCACTCCTCCCTGTAGGAAATGCAAAGTTAGCAATTAGCTATTTGGGTGTGGACATTAGCTAAACCTTCTCATGAAGATCTTTTAGCCCTGGTTTTAATGACATGTCTCTTTTGCTTATGTTGCTAACAGCATGTTTATGTTAACATCCGAACATACCAGACATGGACACAAGGAATCATCCTGTTGGGCATGTCTACACAGCACCATCAAGCTACATTCACCCAACTGTGCTACACCAGTGAATACCACAGGATAAACACACATGGTGCCATTAATACTTCCTGGAGGGTGTGGATGCCTGAACAAATTATTATTGTTCAGAATTGCAGTACTTTGGCCATCCTGTGCCCACTGTCTGTACCTAAACTCAAAATGCCAGAAGACAAGGGCAGGCATACTCTGACTGCAAGAGAGTGGCCAGGGCACAGTGCACCCGTGCCCTGCCTGTGTGCACAGTAAAGGTTCGGGCAGCTGTACTGCAAAATGAGCCAGGTTACACAGCACTTCTGAATTGGGTCAATAGCGGCCTCAGCATCTACGCTGGCAGAACCAGATGGATTTACATTAATACTCTGTGATACACAGTGTTTTGGAAAACCTTGCCAGTGGAGAGTATCTCACTGACCTCGTAAAACCAGCATTAAATGACCCAAGAAGTTTTGAACTAATAATCTGGGGTCAATCCCTGTCTATGAGTTATGTCAGTAAAACCACCACATGTCAGATGCAAGTTACCCCTTACAGAGTTCCTACTTCTGTCCTTGTGTGACTTTATTCTTACAGGTTATGTTTTTGAAGAATGAAATAAGCAGGTGTCAAAAATACAGCAATTCCTTTAAGTAAAACTGAAAGAGCACATCTAGACCAGTTCTTATGCTAATTCTGAAATACCTCACAGCCTTGGGATATGCTAGGCAGATGAAAGTAGGAATATTTCTTTTAATCTTCTGAGAATAGCATTACTGCAGTTAACATACTGATATGTGAAGGCTGTATTTATGTATGATGGGGAAAAAGCTATTATTTGGATTAAAAGCCCAGCTTCCACCTGGAATTTTATGCTGCTAATCATCAGGACACAAAAAAGTGATTCAAAAATGTGTTAAATCTGAATAACTTCAGTGCCGTGGGTTAAACAACTGCCAAAAATCCTAGGACTTACAAACAGCTTCCTAAATGACTGTTCTATCTGTCATTGTAATGACAGCAGTAGCACAAGCTGTGTTAACACTCAGCATTTAAAGTCCTGGTAGCTTACATGAATGGTATTCATCTTACTTACACTTCACTCTCTGCAAGTCAAGCATCTGCTCTGTCCTAGTTAGACTTCTGTGGTTAACGAGCAGAGATGGGAGCCCACTGGCAGGATTCATCCTGCCTGGCTTGGACAGCTCTCTTAAGGTAGAAGTGCTTTTGTCCTCCATTTACTTTTTGAAAGGGGGTCTTGGGCATAGAAGGAGAGTGATGTACTGGGTGGGGAAGATGGTAGAGCAAACCTGAATGAAGTAGGAGGGGGAAGAGAACTGGGAAGGAGTGGGCAAGGAAATGACAGGAGAGATGAGTAACGACTGACCAAATAAATGCCAGTGAGGTGGTGGGCATACAACAGTAAATACAATAAAAGCAGAATAATCACTGAAGAATAGCAATGAAATGCAGGAAATGGAGCTGAGCAATAAAAGACAGTGATAAAAGCATTGCTAAATTTAGCATCTCATTAGTCAATCAAGAAAAGCTGCTTAATGGGATGTGCTGGACTGATGGATAGGGAAGATACCAAGCCAGTAACAAAATATAAAAGCCCAAGGGGAATGAAGGCAAATGACAGAGAAAAGGAAGCATGGCTGTACTTCCTACAGTGAAAATGCTTCCAGACTGGAACAGCAATCCTGCTGTTTCTGCAGCATGATGTCAATGTGTTTCTGTTTGGGATTCAAAGCCCTCCGCAAGGGCAAACCTGCTGCCACGCCTCGTAAGCTTTTTCCGCCTGTCATTTCAACCCCTGTGTGATTTGTGATCTGTCCTGGTCAGGCTACAGCTTCACATCCATGCTCACCATCCTACCCCACACCCCTGCTCATCCCAGTGATACTCCAGCAGATTTCTATGCAAAATTCCAATTCATTCCTACCAAAGACAGGATCTAGAGCTCCTTCACTACAACAATTCCTCAGGACAAAATGTTATGGGTGAAAGCATAAGCACAGCCAGGTTCCCTGTCAGTTCTCACACAGTTCTCTGCACTACTCATAGGCCATTTAAAGACAAATTCTTCTTCATTCCAAACTTATGTGAGAGCCCTACGGCTCAGCCAAACAGCTCAGCCTGATGCTGTGCCTGTTTACTGAGGCTTTGGACAGAGCTCCTGGCCCCATTTACCATCATTTCAAAGGAGGTACCCAGGCACAGAAAACCTGTGCCAGAGGCTTTTGTGGTTCAGGGACTGCAATGCTTAGGGGTTAGCAACTCCAAAAGGCAAGTTTGTTGTTGGCAAATTTGACTGTGAAAGGTATTCTCCGTGGGAACATTTGTAGAAGGGATCTACAAATCAAAAAATTGTCAATCCTTGATGCAGCCCCCTCTGCAGCTCTCACAGGTGATCTGCTTCACCATCCTCCCTGCTAGAAAGCCTTTTTTCCAAGCATCTGCTTTAAACCTCCTCTGCTCTTTTGTACACAATCTACATTGCAGAGGGAGGATAGTTTAACTCCCTCTTTTCTCCAGCAACATTTTATATATAAGGTACATGACTAATATTTCTAAATTATACCAGCATCTTTGGGCACAAATGTCAATATTGCTTCCCTGCAGAAGAAAACTG